CATGCTAGGATAAACCAGGCTGCTCTTTGCCTTTGCCCCTTAGGTGGGGTGAGCTGCCAGACCAGCAACTCTGAAGGGTGACTGATGATGGAGTTTCCTCACTGCGCTGCACCTCCCGGTGCTGTCTGGGAATGACCTCCCATGGGAGTGCAAGAGGGCTTTATGGATCTCTGCTGTCTACTAAGCACACATTTAGGGACTTCTTGTCTGTCTGTAGCCGGGGATGGAGGAGAGGGAGGAGGGGTGGGGTGAAGGGATGCCTCTGAGGAGATGTAGCGGGGTGTCCACGCTATGTGCACCACCTGAGAGTTGTGAATGACCACTGACTGCTGCTGACCACGTCTGCATCCAGCATTTCCCCATCTCGCTGCAGTTGCTCAGGTTATCTAACTTCCTACATTTCTGTCTTCTCCCATCACCGTAAGCTCAATTTATAATGAGTATCAGGTAGTTTCTCTGTTAAAGGCTTCATCCAGCTGGTGCTGCTTCCCAATTCTCTGCTCTCTCCTGTCTGGGAATAGCTGTTTTATACAGCAAAGGACCCTCTGGAATTTGAATCACATTTCATAGAATCTTAGAATAGTTTGGGTTGGAAGGGACCTCTAAAGGTCATCTAGGCCAACCCCCCTGCCATAGGCAGGGACATCTTCAACTAGATATGTGGTTCGACTAGATATACGATATCAACTAGATTTATGGTTTGCTAAAGAGACCAAGTGCCTATTATACCTGGAATAAGCATTTAAAAGGAGAGCTGGGTGGACACAAAATCTTTCATTATTTCAGTTTGCTCATCATGTTCAGAGAGACCTCAGATATGCCCACACTTCTGCTGCAGACCTGTGAGGCAGTGCTCGAGGCTCCCCAGAAATGCCTCCAAAAATGCATTTTGCTGCCCATGCCAGGAGAAGCGGGTGCTGGCTCGTTCCTGCCCTGACAAGCACTGGGAGATGGGTCATCACCAGGCTCTCAGTCGGACCCAAGTCACCCTTTTTCTCATGCAGGCAAAACAGGCAGCACGGCCTTTCTTGCAGCCCTGAGCAATGGCCTGTCTTGCTTATGTCTCGAGCTGGTCCTGAGACAGGAATATCTCAGTGCCAGTCTGGCAACTTTGCCTGTGTTCAAGCTGTCTTTAGTGATACCTGGCTTTATGTGTTTGTGCAGAGGAAGGAGTTATTAGCTTGCTAGCACGGCCTTGTTCCCATTTCTCACTCTCCATCTCCTTCTGGAGAAGAAACCCAGAGCTTTTGCCTACTGGGAAAAATGATCAGTAAATCCTGAGTGTGAGATACTGTGTTTTGCTTCACCATGTGTGAAGATGTCCGTTCCCAGTGTCCATTTTGTTGTTTATGATGAAGTAGCCACGACCATGTTTCGTATTATCTGTCTTCGCTGCTGCAGCTAGAGCTAAAGGCTGGATCGTATTTTATCTTTCTCGTGCTTTTGCCTCAGCCCTTTGCAGGACTGGCTCAGTGTGTTGTGTCTAGCCAATGCCTCCACTGCTTTTCCGGAGGTGAGGTTGTCTAAGCTGCTGGAATATTTGGCTCCCGGAAGAAAATCCATCTTTCTGACATCACCGTGATGGGAGAGGAAGCTGGAGCTGTGTGTGGGCAGGCAGCTGACTAAGCTAGAGGAAGATTAAAGTGGGGAAGAAATAAATTAGGTTTTGTTTCATTAAAAGGACAGGCACAATTAGAGCTCCCTTTTTTTTTTTTTCCTGGAGCAGCCAGATCTCTGCTACAACAATTGTACTTTGATATTTTCCAGGCTTTAAAGATGGTGTCAGAGCACCCACTGCCATTGCTTTAACTTCTACCAGTCAGTACTACTGTGAAAACAGTGGGCGTAAATTCAGCGGGCCAAATATTTTCTTGTCTGCTCTTCAGTCTGTAACTTGAATACTGACACCTACGCAACCTGTGTTTCTTTGTGCCTGAGGAGAAAAGTGTTTATTATATCAGATGAGAGCACTAGCCCATGCACTGAGTATTGGTCTATCGAATCTGCACCCTCGTATCAAAAAAAGGCTAAATATCCCATAATACATCTTGTTGCTATATTCGTATATCCTGGGACCTCAGATGTAAATATTGAGGTTTTATAATGAAGTTCCCAAATCCAGTATTATCAGTTACACCTGCACTTTAGGAAAGCCTAAAGAAAGTACACTTTCTGCACTTTCTGCACCATGTGAGTGATAGCTCATGTCCTTTTGCATCCAGTTGTCTTGCTGTAGCCCCCAGGACAGACTCTGCAGAGATAAGCATGACACACTTCCCTGCCATTATAAGCCATATATGTATGTGATACTTGGCATGTTAATTTAGGCGCGTACAGCAGTTCAACATGACATGGGGACATTTTGCTGCATAAGCATGTGTCCATCCAGCAAATCCTTCTCTGTTGTATTGGGGAAGAGCTCATGTAAGGAGGCAGCGGGCCTGGTCTGCTGCTGCCAAGTCCCTCTGTGCAGTGGGTTTGCTCTTCTCCAGTCTTTCCCAGGGCCCTGCAGACTCTTGGGAAACCATTTTTCCAACAAATCATTGCACTTTCTAACTGGTAGAGGTCAGAAAACAGCACTAAGGTTTGTGTGGAATTGGGATTTCCCCCAGTTGCTTATGACTCTTCACCATTTTGTTCCACTGGTTAAAAGCAGAAAAACCAGTAGAGCACAGGGGAAGGAAATGGAGTCTTGAAGTGAAAATTTGAGAATAAAACTTTTATTGTGTTTTTTCTTTCTTTTGGAAAAAACCCCTTTCTCTAGCCTTTTTTAAAGCATGGAAAAAAATACTTATAATGACAGATTTTTCTGAAGAAACAACTGAAAGCACAATCGTTTGGAGTGTTTTCAAACAGCTTTGTTGTATACGTTTGTATAACTAATACATTTGCCTTTCCCAGCCCCCAATACTAGCAGTAAGAACATTGACACTTTTCTGTTTTGGCAGCTAAAACAGCATGGATGAAGTATTCGTTGCTGCAGTGTATTGATGTTAAAAATTCTCCTGAGAATACACTGCACATTTTGTCATCAATCCACCAGACCGTTGCTTACTGAAAGTCTCAAATTCAGGATACTCGTAGTTCAGTCAGTGCAAAGGAAACCATTAATGTGGAAACTATTGCCCCAAAAGCAAGTAGATCTGGATGTCTGATGCTGGTTTTCAGCTGCTTTCCGTAGGGTACAGGTCTCTCTAATTTCATTCTTTGGATACGTAATTTTGAAATAACATTTATGTTACAAAACTGATTGACTTTCTAAAGGGAAAAAAGAAATAAATTGATTTTCAAATCCATTTCTGACTTGCTGAATCAATGTAGTTTTCAAATGGAGCTAATTAAATCCAATGCCGTAAGTGTGGGTTTGCAGATAATAACAGAGGTCTAACAGGGATCCTGTGGGATAGTAATCAGAATTAAAATGTCTGAAACGTTAAAAAAAAATGAGTAAAACTAATATTTTGCTGTCATTCCTTGTACTTGTAGAATTTGTTTTTACATGCACATTTATGTTAACAGTGGCACTCTGTGTGTGTATTTGAAAATTTTTATTCAGCTGTGTGTGCAGGATCCAGGCAAATTCAGTGTTTCATTTTACAGAATTTTAAGCATTTTACAGAGTAAGAGAAAGTCCCTATTTCAAAGAGTTTTAAACTAAAGAGGCTGGAATGGGCAAGGGCCACAATCCGTAAGAGAGAAGTGAAGTTCAGTGGGAGTATGTCACTGATCTAAGTCGTCATCTCTATCAAGGACCTGAATTATAAAATATGGAATATGTTAAGTTTGAATGTGGAAGTATGGTGGAGGTCAGGGTCAGAATTCAAATTGATCTTGAAAACATAATCCCCCAAAGCAGAAGATGACATTGAGAAGGGGCTGCTGCAGGATGCTTCATACATGTAGCAACAAATTGCACACTGCTACAGATTGGGAACAACTGATTAAGGAGCTGTCCTGCAGAAGGGGGTTTGGGGCAAAGTAAACATTATCCTGGGATTTAAACAGAATACTACTTTATAAAACATGAAATAATCTTTCTACTCAAAGTCAGCCTCAGCTGTGTCCAGCTTTGGGCACCTAGCTACAATGAAGATGCGGAAAAAATGGACAGTGCACAAATGAGAGCAACAAAAATGATCAGAGGTCTGAAAAACATGCCCATGAAGAAAAGTTGAAAGTATTGACGTTGTTTAGTCTAGAGAAGTTTGAAGAGGGAGTTTTGTAAGTCTTCAAATACATAAAAGGCCATTGTAAAAATAAAGGGAAAAGTCTGT